CTTCATTATTATAAGCAATATGTATATTTTGATTATAAAATTTATTTAGTAAAATTTTAATTATAAAATATTGTATATTAAAAACAAAACGGATTAGAATGGGAATTGATCAATTAATGCTATCTCTTCTATTCTGTATCTATATTATGACAACGTAAAATAATATGTTTTGTTTTATAGAAGTCTTTATTCATCTGAATACTCCATTTAATATCTATCAAAATTGTCTTTTTTTTTTTTTTTTTTTTAATTTTGGGTAACTATAAAAATATGAGCTGTTGGAGATAAACGAGGTCTATCTCTTCAGCTGCTATCTGTGAGCATATTCCAATTTCCTTTAGGTTTTACGACCTTTCACAAGCGCACTCTATAGGAGTACTATTTGGCTGGTCTGGGAGTCTGGGAGTCAAGTGCGCCCACAGTTCCTAAAGAGTGAAGCGAAAGTCGAAGGTCGTAAAATGATTGTTGTATACATTTAAAACACAGGACGAACTACAAACTGTTTTACGATCGACTGCATGGCAATGGACTCCACTAGAAAGCAGAGTCAGTCTCATTTAAAGGAAATAAAAACAATCAATACCAAATACCAAAGACCAATTGAAGTTCACATATGTCTTTCGAGTCTGGAGTACAAAAAGGATTTTTCACGCTCTCTCTCTCGCTCTGTCTCTCTGCCTGGGAATGCAAAAGATTTTACGATCGCTTACCGCGTTCAAAATGGGTCATAAAACAATGGGTGTATCCTAGACAGACTTTACTCTGGATCGTGGTTCTTCAATTGATCTGCTGTCTGCTGCTTATTTTTAGAACTATGTTGTGAATAGTATTGGAAACAAATATATAGATCTCTACATAGATATATATGTAAATATATGTAGATATATAATTTACGTTTTATTGCGCTCTGAAACAAAAGAACAATGTTTTGGTTTTGTTGTGATCTGATCGATCGGTCGCTCGATCGGTTAGTCACGTTCGCATTGTTTTCCTAGTAGCTCATCGTAAAAAAACAAGTCTGCGTATGCTGGAAATGCCAGACCAGAATATACCCTGGCTTTAGTGTGAGGAGCTGCTATTTCATATACTTAGTATCTAGTTGACAGTTTTAAAAGGATTTATCATGGTATGATATTTAAAGAAATTTATTATTTTCTGTTGCATATGATATATAGTTAGATAGTTAAGCTAACACTAAGACTAAGGCTGTGCTTGTCTAGAATATACATATATACATTCTTATATTGTACTCAAGATCTCAGAGAGAAAGTCAGGCGAAGCCCAATCATATCATTTTCTGCTTACTATAATATCGAGAAGCTTAGACTAACACTCAGCTGATCGTGCCTATCTAGCATATAGATCAAAAGTACCGTCACTTCTCCCACTTTCTGTGACATCAATGTACCCTATAGCTGCAATTTCAATGGGTATCACAGAATAAACCACAATTGCATTTATAGTTTAGTGCGTGACATCTTGCCGACTGATGCCCTGATGTCCATGCCATTGATTTATGGAGTTTATAGACTTTGATCTGTGATTCTATGGATCTGTTAGCAGCTAACCAAGAAGTCAACAGCTTGTCAAAATTTGATTTGCTCACAGTTGCAGTTAAATGGAAATAACAAAGCATCTATCAGGCCATCCCTCATACACAGCTCTTGCGGTCGTCGATCGACAATATGTATGTATTTCCCTGCTCTTAACAGCTAGTTGGGCATTTATTTATAGTACCCCTGGAGTAACTGAGAAGCTGGGCTATTAGCAGCCGGCTTCGTTGTTTGACAACAAATACGAGCAGCTATATATTCAGCCTCCTTCTGTTCATCATCATAAAGATTTGTTGTTGTTGTTGTTGCTGTTGGCGGCGTTACACATCATTGACAGCAAATTATCCACATTACCTGAATTGTCAGTTGGGCGCCCCCAACCATCCACGGCATTTTGGCCATTAGGATGGTGTGAACGTGACCTTTGGTGGCCATTAAATGGCACACTTCAGGAGTCCAAAAATGGTATTTTGTATGCCCCAAAACGAAATCGGAAATTTATGCGATTCTTGACACTAGTTGCGTGCCCCCAACCCCAACTATATATATATCTCTATATATACATACATATATATATATATAA